TTCCTTTCATCTCGTCTCCTCGTTTTCTCGCTCCGGCTACAAAGACTGCCTTCTGGCTAATAAAATTTGACAAGCATAGCCAACCTTTTTTCTCCACAGGTCAGCCTCTAGCAAAGCTCTAATCAAATGTGACGCTCATCAGCGTACACACCTGCCATTGAAAGCCTAATGAAAATGTCTGACAGTAAATTAGGAAGACAGAGAAGCGAGTTCAGTTACTTTTAAGAAGGAAAGGGAGGAGGGCACCAACATGTTTCAGGTGGTCCAACTTTACCAGCAAAGGCTGACGCAGTGGCACATTTTGTAACAAAGATAAGCAGCAGTTACTGGCAATCTTCTACATGAATAATGAGCACATTTGCAGCAAAATCATTAAAACTGTAAGAAGCAAAATTACAAAATAGCAAGATACATGTAGACAATAAGGTCAAGTAAAGATGAAAAAAAAGGCCTGCATAAAATTACATGGTGAGCTGTAATTAGTCCTGCAGTGGTTAAAAACTGTGCAGACCACACAGCATTGTTGCTAGGCTACCCTGGGCTTCCAACCCAATATATTACATGTTGGTGGCAGCGTCTATTTCTGACTGTGTGTGAGTGTTATTGGGTCTGGGTGATGAACAGATTTGACACTTTTAGAATGGGTTCAGGAGCTGAAATGATAGAGAAATGTCCGTCGGAGAGGTTGGCTGTATGCCGGCACCTAATGAAATGGGTTTACAGTTATTTTTATGGGAAACCGTTTTGTTTCCTGCAATAATCACCATTGACATTCGTCATTTCATTTTTTTTCCATGAAGTCTGCAGTGTGGAGGCATTTGTAGCCTTACAGTTTTCTCTTGTTTTTAAAAAAATGCAGTTTCTCTTTGAGGGAGAAAAGCTGTCTAAACCAACCTAGCTTGTTGTTAAACTGTAACCGCCCCCTCAGAACTTCAACTTGGTGCTACACGTGACAGCAACAACTCAACATTAGAGAAAACAGAGGAACTCCAGCCCATTCCTCTGACTATAAACCTCCTGATTAAGTCTATTATTAAACAACTTCATCACATTAAGATCCGGAATTTGACTAGGCCACTCTAATACTTGTAATCTATATATATATCTTTTTCTTGCTTGACCTCTTTACTGTGCATATACTTTTTAAGTGTCTATACACGTATTATTTTTATCTAAAAAAAAAAGTATTTATTCAGGGTTCCTATAGCATAAGGCAATACAAAACTTTTTAAGACTTTTTAATGCCACTTGAAATAAAAATTTAAGACCAAATTTCCAAGAAACACAAGAAAAACCTGCTTGCAATAACTTAACCCGAAGGTTTATTATAACATAAACCATTGCACTAATGTTTCAAATTTTGAAAAACTTCCCATACAGGAAGAAAGCTAAAAACACACAAATGACAGATATATTTTAATAATTATTTAACTGAATTCACAAACTTTGTTTTAGCAGGGAACAAAACTAATCAGTTTTAAAGCCACAACATAGCCAGTGCTAAGTCTTTTTTGCAGCTATTTTTGTTTTGTATCGTTTTCTTAGTATGTTTGATTTTGTGATAAATAGAGGCATTGCAGAGACAAGGGTGGAACAAAACTGAGAAATACCGGCTGTTTCTCAGTAACTTGACTTTGACGCTTTGTGTTTCGCGCTTCGCAAAACTCCACTGCCTTAATTCCCATCGTTCCGAGCTTGAATGACTTCTTGCACAAAATCCACTGTGCCTCATGTATGTTCCCTGGTTTTAGCCATGGAGAAAACTCTTTGCTGGATAACCAATTTTCGTTACATTTATACTTGCTCATATTTTCCAGACAAAAAGTAAATGGCGCATCTCCCAAATGTCCCGGCCGCAACAATGCTTTTATTGGTTCCGCTATCGGGATGGAACCAATAATGGCGAGCCGTTATAAAAAAAAAAAATTGTCAATTTTAACGTTTTATTTAGATTACAAAAATAAATCATAATAAAAATTATCCTATTTATGATGTTTTAAAAATTAAGACCTACGAAAGACTGATTTAAGACATTTTAATACCAATTAAGGCCTTCGTTTTATTTTGAAGAATTCAATGACTTTTAAGACTTTTTAAGGACATGCGGGAACCCTGTTATTGCTAATGGTTACCTGAGCAAGAGTTTGACTAAGATCAGAAAGAAAACCTGCTTTTATATCATATTTTGGAACATTTGCTATATATATATAAAAAATGAAATTCAACTTCTATTTGCTTCTGTCCTCACAAATATATATTTAAGTGAATCCAATAAGTAAGTCTAAGTGCTGCATATGTGCAGATTTTTTTTGGTCAGACACCAATTTTGTCTCTCCTGCCTTTTAGGCGGGGCTAATTTAACCCAACTTAAATTGGGGGAACCTCTTTCCACCAACACTTAGGTCCTGCCATAATAAGAGTCTGAACAAGTGAGCATTGGAGTCCATAAAAACCCATGAAAATGGAGTCGAACATGTAAACGGTTGAGGTTAGCAGAGGTGGAAATTGAAATAGAATCACAGACATAATGCTGTTTTTTTTTTAAATAGCATTTTAGACTTTGGGAAGAACTGGACAGCCCCAGTGCTGCTTATCTTCCATGATTATCTCTATGTTGAAATAATTGTTTTAATCACAGTTTTCTGATTAATTAATCCCAGTAATGACCAGCAAAAGATCATGTTGAAATAGGACATAGTGTAGATTTTAAGCTTAGTTCCTGATTAAGGAATTAAATATTGCACTTTTGTTTTCCAGTCAAAATCAATGTGTAAGTAAACGTTAAATAGTTAATAAATGTTAAATAATTAGTGTAATTTAACCTGACCCTACCATAACCCACAGTAGAGGTCCTCCTGGACATCAGGTGACATTTTTACTCTTGAATGCCACCATAATTAGCTTTTATTATTAGCAACATATACAATCCCACTGTGGGTTAATTCCTTTATTCAAGAGGTTTGCCTCTAGAGACACGGATACATGTAGAGTTAACAAGCTAAAGATCGCTTCTCATCCATCACGTTGATGCTAAAAACTGCCCTGTTTAAATGAAGGGGGGGGAACCGACGGATAGGTGACACATGCAGAGTGTGAGAGATTTAGAAACGGAGAGAATGTGAGGGCGAAAAAGGAGGACAGGGAGAAAACAGGCTGGTAATGAAGTAGCCAGCAGTAGTGGATGAGAGCTAAAGTGGTTTAACAGATCTGTCAGGCTGCTAGACTGTGGCTAATTATCCCCCCTCCTCTTTATCTGCATCTACTCCTCTGTCACTTCTTCTTTCTGTTGAATTTACTCTGCCGCATGTTATGTTCTCTTCTTTATTTCCTGGCTCTCCTTTTCCAGCTTTCTCTTGTCTCTCTTTCTCCCCCGTCTGTTGCTTCTTTCCCTCCCCATCTGTCTCCTCCCCGTGCCCAGCCCCTCTCCCTCCTTTTTTCTGAATCGTCTATTTCTGGATGAGATTGGGTGTCTGGGGCTTAGTGTTTGATTTGCAAGTCAATAGTGATTTCTGTCAGGGAGTTTAAGTTGAGGGAAGTTTTAATGTGGCCTGTATTATTTCACACAGGAAATTATGAATTTGCATTAGAATCCTCTGTGGACTTTCTTTTTTTTTCTTCCCCCCATCTTGCTCACACACTGTAGCTGTGAGTTAAGACTACGATACCCTCATCAGTAATAAGAAAACTTAAAATGAAGCTCTATGACATCCATTATTACACTATATAACAGGTTTTTCCTCAAATCAATTAGATTTTATCATTAAATTACTTTGAAACATCCAACTCTTTCTTTTAGGCATAGAAACATGGTAACATTAGAGCTGAAATGTGGGTTAAAGCTTGATTTAATCTTCCTGAATCACCAGGACTCTTATACGGCATGGAAACAAGCTCATTATATTGACAGATCTCATTTGAATCATTTACTAGAAGCTACTGATTTCTGCAGAAATTAAGAACTGAGCTTAACGCATGATCTTTAGGTAAAAGGTAGAGATAGAAATAAGAGAACTGAAGCTGATTTGGGTGTTTAGATGAGGAAACAGGTGAGGATCACACACTGAGAAATTATTCTATTAGAAGAACAGGAAGAAAATGATGCTGTAGTCTGACTGGAAAAGAAGAATACATCCATATAACCTTTATCTTTATTTCATCTTTGCACTAAACCTGAACCTAAATCTTCATGTCCATATCTCAGCTTATATGCATTCTAGCTCGTTTCTTTGAAATATTATACCCCGTTTACACTACCCTTAAAAAACTGAGCCGAGACCGGTCCGAGCTCAGTAACTGAGATAACTTGTCGTGTGTGAACGCGTCATCGCCGACTGGCTGAACATGCCGATTCACACTCCATTCAAGTACATCCGCGCAAGGTTGCCGTCTTCGCCTGACCCACCGCAAACACGGAAGTACAGCAATAATAATCAAGCATAACTTTCTGAATGTGACGGGCGCCGCCATTTTGATTTGCTTGATTCCCTCCTCCTTCGTCTTCTTCTTCTTGGGTTTTACGGCGGTTGACAAACAGCGTTTGGTGCATTACCGCCACCAGCTGCTTGAGTCCCTCCTTCAATCCTAGCAGTAATACCGCACATCGTCACTAGGAGGCGAGGAGTCGAGATAACCGAGATAAGTGTGACGTGTGAACGGTCGTCAAAACTGAGCTTGGCCTGGTTACCGATCCAAGCTCGGACCGGTCTGGGCCTGGATCGGTTTTTCAAGGGTAGTGTAAATGGGGCTAGAGTAACAGTTTTAGTGATTCTGCAGAAATCACTTAATTTTTCACTAACATTACATTAAACTTTGCATAAATCATGCATTAAATTGTGGAGAGCGTTGGCCTCATGTTTTATGCATTTGTCCAGCTCAGCAGGCTGGATGTAGATATCTGACCTTTTTCTAACACAGAGGATATGCAGAAGCACTGAAGACAGAAACATATGTATGATAAAAGCTCAACATGGTTGTTCTAAACAGGAAGGCTATAATCTTACCCGTCTGTTTGGGCCTGGTGCTGGTTGGGAGGCTTGGATTTGTTCACTTTGGCGTAGAGTCTTTCCACGTCATCAAAGGAGGCCTGGGTCTGAATCAGTCCTCCTCGTGGTATAGCCGGGGATGGGGTGCGGCTCAAGGAAAGTGGCGAGGGCGGCTGGCGGAAGTCGTTGATGCGGGCGTAGTTTGGGTCGCTGTCGTCGTCTTCCATGTCGGGAAGAGAGGCACGGTCTGGGGTGGCGTAGCCAGAGCGGGTCTCGACGTAACGTGGGTCATAGCTGTCAAAGAAGAGGAGACAGACGAGGTAAACGGGCAGCGCAGACAGGGACATGAATCCTTGAGTAGGAGTGAATAAAGCAGCAGGTTGGCTCAGAACTCATCAAGTAAAATGTCAATCAGAGACTTTTTAAGCTTAGAAACTGTCCTCTCTGTAAAGATGATTGGAGCAAACGCTCATCCAGCCTGAGCGTTTCATACCCATCTCTGCTGTCAGGGACTCTGTCCAACTCCTCTTCGCTCAGAGCTTCCAGTCTGTTCTTCGATCCTTTCGCTGGATCTTTGCTCTTGTCGTCCTTCTTCTTACCGAACCTGCAGGAACCAAACAAAGCATTCAGGGAAACTAACATTTCAAATAGCCAAGACTTTTCTAATGCACTCAATAGGCCTTGGATGTTTCCTTCTTTTGTTCTTAATTATGTGCAACACAATTCCTTGTCTTACTGATACTTTTATGTAAAAATATACTGTATTAATTTGAACCTTTCCAATAGAAATGCCAGGAACAATTAAATGAATGGAAGGAGTTTTACTAAAAGAAAAGGAAGCACAGTTATGGCTTTTAAAACCTTTTAGCATGAAGTGAAAAATGCAACAGCAACTTTAGGAGGGTAAAGCTTTATTTTTTTTGGACTCCAGCCTGGAGGATGACCAAACAGAGAAATAAAGATCTGTTTGTTATTCTGCTGGTGGCAGGCTGTCACAGCAAAGCATGGGGATGAGCATAACAGCACACCTTTACAGGATGCAGAGAATGACAGCGGATGTAATAAACCTTATGTCCTGTATTTTTTTTTTATATAAAAATAAAGGAGGGGGACATTGATGCTGATGCTTTGCGACAAACTCATCACTACATAAAATAGTTGCATTGGGTGCTGAAATGCAATAAAAGAATAGTGGCCTACTCATTATATCTAGGGAGGTTAAAATGAAGATATACTTCACACTTTTGGTAAATTAACTCAACCTTTTCAGCTAAGTATTTCATATTTCCATCCTGACTCCTCGTTTGCTCCTAAAAGAAACCCACATCTCCTTCCCTCCCAGCTCCCGCTGAGCCAATCTAATGTCTGTGTTTATCTCATTAACAGCGAGGCACTTTTGATTACGGCTACAGGGAGATACGTGGCCTGAATGCTAACCAGCGCGGCCTGGTCAAGCGGAAACCTGGACCGAGATGCCATGCTGGCCCTGCAGCATCCTGCAAACCAATTAGTCTCATCCTCAGATCATATACTTGCTTCACTTTTGCCACTGTGGGTCATTCTTGTCAAACAGAGGTCAGGTATGCACAGTATGGATGTGGTTTTAGCTTACAAAGAAAGCAAACCGAGGGAGTGGGCTAGATTATATCGCCTTGATTCAGAGTTCAACAGTCTTAAAATCCAAACAAACATGATGCACCTCAGGATCAGATTAGGATGACACTACACCCACAATGAGCTGCAGGTTGTTAAAACACTGAGGAATAATAAACAGTTGTAAAACATTTCAAAGATGCGCTTTCTGATTATTTTCCACCAGTCTGTCCCTTTGGGTTAAAACCTTCCATCAACATGGAATAATATTTATTTTTAACCTTTAAGCATCTTTTAAGCTAAAGTAATTTATTCTTTTTTGAATGTAGAAAATAATTCTCAAGGATCATTGTAAAGAGAAAGGAGGAAGTTTGTCGCAAACTTTTGTACTTTGTGCGTCTAAACTGAAGAATAATGTCAAAACATCTGTAATAATTTCTTCTTAAAATGTATAAACAGTTAAATATGGTGATGTGAAACTAAACTGCAACTGTTGGGCATCAATAGGAAACCCCAGGGTAACAGCGAAACAGGGTGGTGGCAGTAGCAGGATCTGGGCTTATTTTCTTTATTTTGGATAGTTGTTTTGTTTTTCCTAAATTCTTTATAGATTTCCACCAACTTTTAACCAGAATTGTTTTAGTAATCTTTTTAATTGCTTAAGGAAAATATGGATTTGATTTATTTATTTTTTATTTTTTTACTACCAGGTCCAGGTATACATCCAAATCCAAAAAAGAGGACAAGCTAAGCTTTTGAATTGCCAAATCAGCATTTAAAACCCAAATATCTATTGGATTTAGGAAGTTTAATGTATTAAAATTCCTTGTCATTCTTAGTTTTATTTCTCCCAGTGAATTACTAAAGTAAACCCTTGTAGTTTTAATATTAATGTTACAAACCTCCCTTCCTTAAGATCACTTGACACAGAAACAGTGTGGGCGCTGCAGCAGCATGTTTGTTTTTTTTCTTTTTCCTACTTGGAACTATTTTGATTTAAGCACGCCCACATACTGCTGCAGCCGAGAGCGGACTACCAATTACCTTAGAGAAAGCATACGTATAGAAATCAGTGGAGTTAGAAACAATATATCAGCTCTATTCAAAGTCAATGCATCAATAGTGGGATAATTAAAGGACACATAAATACAGGATATGATTGACTAAATCCTCAGGTTTATCTAGCAGAGCTGCACACACACACAGCGCCTTCATCAGCATTCGGAGGGGGCAGAGGTCCACAGTTGGACCCGTCATTATATCTGCATTAATTAGGAAAGGCTCTTTTTTCTCACTGTATTGTCTAAGAGGAGATGGGGAGAGAAGAGGGAGGGGGCGACTCAGAGTGGGATTGGGACATCCAATTAGAGAAATACCTGCCATGAGAGGTGGATATCCCCCACTCTCCCATCGCCTTATCACTTATTCATCACCAAAGAGTCCCACGTCTTCACACTGAAGAGAGCAGAGTTTGTTGAAATGCTTTCGCCGTTCATATTTTCTTTTATTACCTTGACACAAATCATGGCGTTGCTTATTAAGTTTGGCTTTTCTCTGTCACTCAGAAACCTGACAGTTAATTTCCTGTAGGGCTGCAGGATAAAAAGGGCGGCAAAACAGAGACGGCGACGCCACTATGTATAAAAATGTGTCTGTAAAAACAGGAAGAGGTTATATAAACCCGATCATTTAGAACAGTGGTTCTCAAACTTTTTCTGTCATTCCCCACTTTGGACAAGGGGGAATTTTCAAGCCCCGCCTGTCCCCATCGCCCCAACACAATGCTAATGAAATATTCAACAATCTTAAAATGTTCCAATTTTATTGAAGTAACAAGTAGTATCTAAATACAAATCTACATCAAATAACAGCAAGCTCAAAAATAAAGAAAATAAAAATGCAGCTGTGTCAAAATTTGTATCAAGCTCAAAGATAGAAAAAATTAAAGTGCCACTCTGCAATCTGTTAATAAAAGAAAAGAAGTGAAATCCATCTGGCAAGACAGGTCTATTTATCCCTGCATTAGTGGCTGCAATGAGCCTGTTTTGCATTGCAGTTTCTCAAAACGGGGTTGCAGGCTTGATACTGCCACTCTCAAGTCATGCTCAATGTTCTGCTGAGATCTGTATTTTGTTTTCATTGAAGCAGCAGCTGAAAAGCCCATCTCACAGAGATATGATGTGGCAAAGGGAAGAAGAATGCACACAGCTCTCTGCCCGATGAGTGGATACTCGCTCTCCACTCCTAACCAGAAACATGAACATGTGGCTGTGTGAATCAAACGCCGTTATTTATTTAAGATAAAATATTTCAAATTCAGTTATTTATGATCAACCTGCGCCGTCAATCCCGGCGCATGTGCGCTTTATTTGCAGTCTGGACGCAAAAGTTAAACATGCTGTGTCTCTGCTCTGACTGCAGCGCTGATAGGGACTCCTGCAATAGCGGGGGAGAACGGGGTTGGGACGGGGGAGGCGCCCCACGGCAGCACCTGCCGCTGGAGGACAAGAAAAGGAACGATACGTGCTTTCACGTAAGAGTCTCCAAAAGGCGCTAGATTTGTTTTTTTGAAAAAGAGTCGCTGGAGGGGTCTGAAATATAGCGACAAAGTCGCTGAGTTGGCAACACTGGGGCGCGAAAGTTTATTCTGTTACAAATAATATGCCGACGTCACGTCAATCATTATTTTGGCACTTCAGTTCCAGGTGAAATTTTTCTCATATCTAATGTTCTTTTAATTAGACTGCATGTAGGCTAGTAATGATTACTTTGTGGGTTTGATTGGTCTAAAAAGCGGCAACATACAGCTATAAGGACAGTTTGCTCTCACACATTCTACATTTATAGTCACACACACACACACACACCGGAACTTGGCGCGCCCCACCTGTCACGTCTCAATTCCCCACCAGTGGGTCGCGCCACACACTTTGAGAACCGCGGATTTAGAAGAAGAACAAACTAAACGTATGTATCTTAAGGTAAGGAAAAAAACACTAAAGACGGTAATGTAGATGAAATTGGGAACTCTGCAGGGAGCTGCACACAGCCGCAAAGAATAGGACATCTCATTAACTTAGCATCATCTACCTACACAATCACTCCATCAAACTCTCATTAGCTGGTCATAGGGGGTTAGAGTGAGTCAGGCTGATCTGGTGTCCCATTTAATGTGCTCCCCATCGTCACAAGAGCTACTAGGAACTGTTATAAGTGCGTGGCTGTCATCATTAGACCAAGTCCCCCGCTGTCACCCGAGCATAAACTCAGCAGCCAAGCTAAGAGATGATGGCGATCTGTTTAAGTGAGCTTAGCTACTGCTTTAAAAATGATCTGGTTAATTTAGGTACAATTTCAGAGTAGAAAAAATAAAAATTTGAAACTTTTTTCCCATGATTAGGACAGGACTGAAATGCTGGATTTGTGGAAAAGAACAACCTAAACCAAGTTTATGATAAAGCTGCAACTTACAGCTCAAGCAGGGGGTTAAGAACCAGACCCCTGGCAGTAAACAAAGCTCAGACAAACGCAGGATAGTTTTAACAGTGAAGTGAAGCACAATGTTACCTGAAGCCCCTCTCACACCCTGAGGATTTAGCCCGCATATGCCAGATGTCCCAGAATCTACTAAATCGCTGGCACATGCTGGACTTTCTAGGTATTTTTTCAATTTTGGGCATTTACTTAGAGTATTCATAACAAGTCCAGAACTTATGTCCAACGACAGCCTAACTTTTAACGCACGACAGCGTAATGCCCATGAAATAGTGCACAAGCCAGTGTCCTGAGGGGGGCAGCAATGCGCCCCGAGATGCCCGGCTTGTATAAAAAGATTTCTTTGATCACGGTATTAACTTAGCTTCCGTTTACCGGCCGCAAAAAAATAGATAAATGAAAAGAAAAAGGAAAAAGAAAGAAAGAAGGTATGCAGTTGCAGTTGATTCAGCGTCATGTCTGCTAGGAGGTTTGTTGGTCGTGCTCACCCTATGAGGGGGATCAAGTCTGGAGGAG